TTCCTGATTTGATGGATTCTCACAAAATCCCTTGAGAGAGATCTGCAGCTTCATGTGCCAGTTCTCAACAGGATTTTTGCAAAGGGGTTGTTCTGGACCCCAGCTCCATTGTTTTAATTCCCTTCTGTGTCCATCCATGTATTTACTCACATTTCCATTCAAACACTTCTTGTTTGCCAAAGAAAATATAATCCTAGATTGACAACAGTCTTCACCAAAATTTAAGGAGATTATGTACCAGATATTTATAATATATATAGATAGATAAACTTTAAAGTAAACCAAACCCTCATCCCTGCCTCATTTTACACCAAACTCACATCTTCTTTACTTTTTCTTCTTTCTTATATAGCCAATGATTTACTTGTCACTGTTTCAGCTTCTTATTCATGGTTTCATTCTCTTTTACAATGGAAATTCTCACTCATTTTGTTTTCTGATCTTTAAACTGCAGCTTTCTTTAAGCATAACTCTCTACCCCCTCTCCCTGTAAGCTCTCTGCTTCCTGCTAATACTTTTCCAGTATTAATAGTTATTTATCTGTTCAGGTTTCACTCTCTATACTTTAGACAGAGGCCCCACTTTTTTTTTTTTTTTACATTGAAAATGTCATTTTGATCAAAAACCACTAGGAGGAAGCATTCAACAAGTTTCCCTGTCCAGATGTAGATCCCAGTCTTAATTTCATTAAATTCAGATGGTTTTGAGCAGGAACTAAGGGGACTGATGGATCACAGATCCCCTTGAAAGTGCTGTGGCCCACAACACCTTGAAACACCTTGTAACTATTTACCTTCCAGTCAAACTGGCTTCTCTGCTTCTGCTAAAATCAGTTTTGTGACTCCATCCTCTGAAGAATAGAAACCACCTCTAATTTACAAGTTAATTTTTCCCTATTCTATTTGTCTTTTAAACATTTGTCTCCCTTCTTCTTATTTTCCCACCTGCTTTATTTACTGAGAGTCACGATGCATCCTCTCAGCTGTTATTTCTAGGCTGAAAACACTAAACTTCTCATATCACACGTTATTATTCATCCTAGCATTGCTTCCCAGCACATGATATAGTTTTAATTCACAACTGTTGAATTGCAAAGATCTCTGGCGAACAGGAGGAAAAAATGTTGCTTTTCTTTCAAGCACAAGTGGAGTTTCATGCAGTTCCATCAATTTGCCCAAGAGCTGAGAAACACTGAACTAAATTATTCACATGGTTCAATTAATAATAGTCTCAATGCTAAAGTCAGTTTAGCCTTTGCTACAGGTCCTGAAGAAAATATTGCTGAAGAAAATAGCTTTTTGTCAATTAATTTTTTTTCCCGCCCCCTTTAACACTGTTGACTGGTTTGCAATTATTCAAGGATTTTCCATTACTTTGATTTCCTACAAAAAATATGTGTGCTTTAGGTGGTAAAATGGAGCCCACTACAGAGAGGTACAGATGTTCTTGAGTTCTCAGGTCATTCATTCATATATTTATTGTTCCACACCACTATCAGACGAACAAATTGATACATCATGTTGTTGAGCTTGTGTTTCTCGTGGGCTGTCAAAGGGAAAAGCTCACAGGCCTCAATTTTTTTTTGTCTGTATTAATAACCTCTTTAAAAATGCAATAATTTGGAGTAAAATTTTAAGTGATTTATAGTTTATGGAACATGTAACTGTTGAAGAGACCAGGCTGTTAATGCAGCCTGGATTAAATGACTAAAATCACATGAAATATTGCTCTGAATGACCAAAATAGGAAAGCAATTATCCGGAAATAAGGATGTATATCATACTGCCACAATAGGAAAGAATGATGTTTTTAAGAATATTGCTGAAACCAAAATTAAGAGGCTCAGAGGCGAACCAGAAGGATTTGGAAGATTATTTATTTCTAAGGGCACATATTCTAATTCCCATGCTTATATTCAGAATTTTATCTCCCAAGTGACTGGGGCCTCCTTAGAAGATTTTCTTGTGGCCTTTCATTACATAAAGAGGGTTTATAAGAAAGATGGAGGGAGACTTTTTATGAGGGTTTTAGACTGAAAGAGGGTAGGTTTATCTTTAGATATTTTAATTTTTATTTATTATTATATTTATTTAATTTTATACATTATTATATATTTTAGATATTTTATTTATTTTTTAGATAGCCATTAGATATTTTTCTAAAAGGATGGTGATGCTCTGGCACAGGGTACCCAGAGAAGCTGTGGCTGCCTCTGGATGCCTGGAAATATCCAAGGCCAGGTTAGAAGGAGTTTGGAGTAACCTGGGACAGTGGAAGGTGTCCCTGACATGGCAGGGGGTGGAACTGGATGGTCTTTAAAGTCCCTTCCAACCCAACCCAACCCAACCCAACCCATTCTTTGATTCTGTACATGGCAAGGGAACAATCTTCCCTAAAATAGTATCACCTTTACTCAGAGTTTCTGCAGAAGATAAAATTCCTCCTAGAGGGTATTTCTCATGTCTCCTACACCAACAAACAACTCACTTAGTATCAAATGAACTTTGGCAGATGATCTCCTGCATTGGTGGAGCTCTGGCTCCGTTTCAGGGTGACCTTTCCAGAGAGAAGGATGTCAGTGATGCTTGTATATATTCTGACCAACAATTAACTGCTCTTACAATAAACAAATACTTCTTCCTGACATACAAACTGGCAAAGATGAGTCACACCACATTTAGGTATGAATGTGTTTAAATCAATCTCCTGGGAGGATGTGATACCAGGGCTGTTCATTGGATCCCCAAATCCATGAGAATGATGCATGTGGCTCATTACTGCTCCTCAATGCATCCTGCAGATCTTGGGAAGCTGACACTGAACAGGCTGGAGCTGGGAAACAACATCCCACCAGTGCCATGTAGCCAGGTCCTCAGCTGGGGTGGTTCATATGCTGTGAAAGTGTTTAAAAATAATTTTAGCCAAATGAATCCCTTTATTTTCATTAATTCTTTTACAGTTGTTAGATTTATTTTTTTATTTGAAAGAATAGAGCCTCTGGGTTCTAAAGGCACAGAGCTGTTGACTTTTCTGGTATAACACAGATTCACTGTGCATCTACATTAAAATCTGAGGGAGTATTAGTCAAAACTAATTAAAGGTGCTACCATTTCAGGAACGGCTAGGGAGAAGTTAAGGGAATACCACAGATGAAACTAGAAATTACTATAAATATTATTTATTTGCATCAGTCTTCAGACAATATTAACTAAAAACAAAGTCTTGTTATTAGGTGTAATTTACCATCCATAGTAAAAGAGAAATTCTGTCCAAAAAGCTCACAATCTGAAGAGATGGAAAAGACAGGAGAAGAAAGCAACATAAAACACAAGAATATAACCACTACCAGGGAGAAGAGGCATTGAAGAGAGAAGAAAACTTGCTGCAGGTTGCAAACAAGTGCACAGCAGGTCCCACTCAATCACAGGGTTCTTTTCTGGCTGAAATTAGTGTGGAGGGAAAAGCTCACCTGAACCTTGCCAGAGGCTGCCAAACCCAACAGTGATCACAGAGCTGCAACCTTGCAACTAAGAAAGCATCTTAAAGATGTTAGTGTACATAAGAAATTAAAATGTCAGGTGTACTTTGTGACTACACCTAGTATGTGACAAAGGGGAACACAATGGTCCTTAGACAGCAAAGTCCAACAGCTAGATCTACAAAGTAAATGTACACAGGACAAATGGGTAAGTAGTGTTTGGGCATGTGTTTTTCTGAGAAGTATAAGGACATGAAGATAAAGGACTTCATAAGGAAAATGTGGTGAGATGAGAAACCACAAGAGCCCATCTGCACATGTAGCTCTATGAGAAGTAGAATTTTAGAATTTGTATTACATCCTCAGGTTTATATTAACCCCAGACCCAAGTATTTCAACCCAGATTTCCTAATTACCTACATTACTCATAATTTGGTTTCTCCTAACCTTTGCAGGAGAGAGAAGGCTGGTTCTCCCACCAGAAAAACACATGGAGGAGGGAGAAAGGCTCCTACCTCCAAAGAGACACATCCATGGCCATGGATGATGTTCATCACCACGACCAAGGACACCTCTGATGGGTCCCATGTGGAGCTCCCTGGCCTTGGTTTCTGGTGTTTAAGGGAGTTGCTGAAGTGATATTACCAATTTCCAGCCAGGGTTATTTGTATTTCTCTTCTCTGCCACATTGTCAAGAATGAACCTGAACACAAAACTCAACTGTTAGGAGAATTCTGAGGAAAGTATGCAATTAACACAAATTTTTATGGACTGATTGATGGTAAGCTGCCTTCACCTCACTGCCAGAGGAAACTGGGTTAAAAAAAATAATCCTCACAGGCAAAACATAAACAACGTTTTTCTCTGCTCAGTATGACTTCTGTAAGACTAAGAGTTGTATTTATTATTTCCCTTAACTTCAGTAACATAACTATGATAACGTACATGCCATGGTTTATTCTGTAAATCGATCATATGGGAAGTCCACTACACTGTGGAATATCTGTGGATCATGCAGGGTCTGTGTTTGTGGCACATCTGTCCCCAAACATAAAAAAAAGATTTAAAAAATCATCAGCAATTTGCTAAACAGGTTTATAATGATAATAGCAATTAGGAATGGAATAAATTTTAGCTCCTTTCCATTCCTCAATTTATACTCATACTGACATTCATTTTCAGTTCTCCAGTAGATCCACTGGTGCTTGGACTTTTCTCTGCTTCCTGTACAGGGGAAATATCAGCTGAGGTTGCCTGTCACTGCTATGAACATGTCACAGCACCCAGGTGCTGTGGGACACACTTTGCAGTGAGATGCCATCGATCAAACAGATCCAAAACCTTTCTCTGAATAGGAAAATATTGAAGAAAACTGAACACAGCAGAGCCAAAGGCCATGATTCTCAGCTGCCATAATCAACAGGCCTGGTTTCATAGGGAGGCTGCCTCTGCTGCCATGCATTTATAATATCATCATCTGTGAAAATTTAAAAATATTCTTAACAGCTTTGTCACCAATTAACTACTTAAAGTCTGGAGATTGTTGATTGCCCATTATTTCTCCATTCTCCACCACGAGATTGCCACTACTCTCTCTTGTGACACTGTCATACGACGGAGGGATGGACACTGAGGACGATGTTTCAGACCTGTTAGGACCCCTACCATAATTTGCACGCAGCATAGAGGCAATGAGTCCTTCTTTTTCTGGAGCATCATCTCCCAGAGTGTCAGAGCTGCCAGTTCTGTGCTGGTACAGGTAGGAAGCCTGTTTGAGGGAGCGCTGGAGCAGGTGGCTCCTGTAGGCACGCTGGATCACCGTGGCCGACGCTTCCTCTTGCCTGTGGCTGAGCGTAGTGCATATTGGCTCATAGGATTGTTTTGATGGATTGGCAGCCATGAATTTCTCCTCCATATGTACTTTCAGAGTATCCAGCTCTCCAGAATCTCCCAACACCCTCTTGGTGAAAGCAAACAAGATATCCAAGCAGTGTATCTTGTCCCCACTGACCACAGGCAGGTCCATTGCTGTGAGTTCAACTTTGTTTGGTTTTGGTACACGCAAGGGCTTGGGCAGAGCATCTGCAAAGTCTGAAAGTGCAGAGAAAGTTATGAACTGAGTTACCTCAGGATCAAACTTCTCCCAGATTTCATAAAAGATATCAAAGTCATCTTCCCCTAAAGGCTCTGCACTTTCCTCAGTGGCAGCATTGAAGTTCTCCATAATAACGGCTATGTACATGTTTACAACAATGAGAAATGATATAATGATGTAACTTACAAAATAAATAATACCTATGGCAGGTTTACCACATTCACCCACTTCTTCCTTTATGGCTGGATCACAATACGGTGGCCCAGTGTTTAAAATGGGGCTGAGAAGACCATCCCAGCCAGCTGACGTGGTGATTTGGAAGAGACAGAGCATGCTGTTAGCAAAGGTTTGGAAGTTGAACATGTCATCAATGCCACCTTCCATCTTCACATAGCCAAAGTTAGCCATGCCAAAAATGGCATAAATGAACATGACCAGGAACAGCAAGAGGCCAATGTTGAACAGAGCAGGAAGGGACATCATTAAGGCAAACAGCAGAGTTCGAATTCCTTTGGCTCCCCGGATGAGTCGCAGGATCCGGCCAATCCGGGCCAAACGAATGACTCTGAAGAGTGTGGGTGGTAAGAAATGTTCAAACGCTTTGCCAATGTTGGAAAGCAGTAAGGCTGAAAGGAGAAGATAACAACTCATTAGAATATAATATTTTTCCTTAACTTGTAAAGAGGCTGGGATGATAATATATTCACAGCTCAAAAATATCTGATGTGTGTTTGCTAAGCCCCACCAGAATAACTTTTAGGAGAAGCTGAATTGAAATAACAGTTGTTGAAATCAGCAATTATGAGCTACATTCTTCAGCCATCAGAGAATAGTCCCCGTTGCACAGAAGATGACAAGAAACTTTCTGTGCACAACTTCAAATATCTGTATCAGTTGACACTTGATGACTGATGGTTTTCTTTGACTCTGGTTGCATGAATACTTCAGCAGATTCAAGTTACCTTCTACATTTGTCTTCAAATACTGACACTACAAAGCTAAACTAAGAAAACAAGATATAATGCAATGTCAAAGTAATTTAAACATAGGCATGATATGAAGAAGCAAACAGAGTGATGAACACAGATGTGCATGGCACTCTAGAATGGCTTTTGGTTTATTCACGGACAGAGCTACACATGGATGTTATTTTTTCTTTGTTTGAATGAAATAAATGACACCTAATAATATTAGAAGAGGCTTGTCTTTTCTAAGTGCAGCTGTTTAGGATATTTTTTTCTGTATTTACAATCCAGAAACTTAATTTCTCAAGGAAGAGCCATAGTCTTACTGGACTCTTACTTACCCTAGACATGAGTCATAGTAAAGAACTGAAATATTCTTCTTGCCCTAAATGCCTCTTACTAGGGCAGTACTAGCCCTGGGAATAGTTAAATTGGCAAGAAGCTCAAATTTGCAACCGAGCTTTTTATCCCATTCTTCCATTGCAATCTCTGCATGTAAAAACTAATATATTTTTTGTGATCTTTTCTATTGTGTTACAAAGTGAGAACCCTTATTGTCAGTCAGCAATGCCTGAATTCTACAGGCTATAATCTAATACCAGTCTTCCCACTCTACATATTCTAGTATTCCCATTTTTCTATATATTTCAGTCATCTGTCAAAAACACAGATGACAAAACCCAATAATTGATCTGAGTATTTCTTAGCTGGTACTAAATCTGTGACAATTGAAATTACCATGTAATATGATACTGCTATGATGAGTTATTCATTCTGTATTTCAGATGAGAAAAAAAAAAACTAAAGAACCATTATAAAATATATACACACTTTTACTAAAGGAATTGTTTTGAATCTCATTGAATATTATTTAATATCATCTTGAGAGGGCTTGCTTATTTTTTCCTTAAGACCTTATAGTACTATGACTTACATTTCAATGATTATTTGCAGTTAATAAATTTTAACTATTTTTTTCTTTCTAAAAATAATAATAATTTACATAATAAAGATTTTTCAAGACAGTTTTACTTACCAACAAGTGACATAATAACAACAACTAAATCAAATATGTTCCAGGCATTTGAGAAATAGTACTGCCTCAGAGCCAGCAATTTCAGCACACATTCTGCAGTGAAGATGGTAACAAAGAGTATATTGATTTTGCTGAGGACATTTGTCTTTGTTTCACTTTGCTCATACGTTTCCACCATCATTGTGACCATATTGAGGCAGATGAGACCCATGATGACAACGTCAAACATCTGGCATGTTACAATGTTGAAAAGGAAGCCTTGGTATCTGTTCTAGAAGGCAAAAAGAATACTTCTGACATCAGTTATGAAAATAAGGAGTACCCATCCATACACGTTTCCAACATTACCAATTTTTATGTCAGAAAGTCACTCAGCTGCAATGAAATTGGAGAAATTGGAGAAAGGCAGAGTATTACAATGACATTAAAAAATCCCTTCCCATCCTGAATTTTTATCACTTCCAAGAATATAAAACCCAATAATATTTATGCAGACAACTTAATACATACTTAATCTGTAAAATAATTCAGTCCACTTGTTGGTGTGGAACTGACTTTAGAGAACTGTGCGAGTATCAATGTAAAGACAATAAGAATATTTTATATGTAATATATAAATATTTTGCACTTTCCAGTGAATTAAATTGCATTTTTGGAATGCATTTTCCCAGTGAAGAATTCTGTTTACCAAGGGTCTTGGAATGGGTTTTTGAGGCTTCTTGGATCCCAACTTTTTCATTGCATTGTAGTATTTTTTCTGTTCTTCTGTCATGAAGATATCTTCCCCACCTAAGTATACAAAGAAATGTCACTGTTATCTGGTGAAGAGCAAAACTACTGTACTTAAAATGTCTAAAATTCTGGAAACTGACATTCCTTCCTTTTTCACATCTTGCTGTTACTGGCTCTTATTTCATATCATGTAACTGTGTCCAAAAAATCAGTGGCACAAACCAGCCATTCACGGCGTAGAAGTCTTGGTGTGAAACTGAGCTCACCCAAAAGGCATGCAAACAAAAAACATGGACAGGATGAAATCTTTCCCTGGGCTTCCTGAAAATCCAAATTTTTCTCTGGGCTTTCATGCTGGGCTTGCTGAATATCCAAATCACTCATCAGAGCATCTGTAGCAGACTGCATTCTAAATAATGAGTCTCTGGTCATGTTGAGTTCCCCAAAAGGAGTGAAATTTTAAGAAGCTTTTAAATGTTTGGGGAAGATCTAGGTGTTCAGGTTACAAGGAATAAGAAAGGAGAAAGTTATTTCTTATAATTTAATTATTAATGCTCTGGTAAATGCCAATAGAAGTTTTAGATTCCGTGTATAGGACCTTGTTCTGTAAAGCACAACCAATACACTTATCTTTTTCTTTTGCTGGTTGAAGTTGTCAATGATTACACCAACAAAGAGGTTCAGGGTGAAAAAAGATCCAAAGATTATGAAGTTCACAAAGTAGAGATACATGTAGAGATTGTACTCCATTTCTGGCTGATCATTTTTCTGCAAGAATGAGAAGCAACTTGAGAAATAACAATACAGCAACATGGGCCCAATTGAGAATAATCTTCATATTGAAGCTCCTCTCAAAAATTGATTCCAGGAGAAACCAAGATTTACGGACTTTCTGCTAAATGTAACAAAAGTGGTATAATTTAAAAATACCAATAGTGCATAACACAAAATTTTGTTTGACTATTTTGACATGATTTCCACAGGCATTGCAGAAGCACCATTGCAGTTCCTTCCAATAAGAACAGGAGCCGTAAATTTTTCAGTACATGAAAAATCAAACAAACAATTTAGAAGTCAAATTCCAAGCTCTTGCCATTAAAATTCTTGGCCTAGATATGTTGTTGCTCTTTTTTATCTTCTTAGCAAAAAAATTCTGTGATGGCTATTATTAATGAAAACAAAATTGGGAGAAGAAAAAATAACTTTTCAAATTGAAGAACAAAGAAGAAAAACATTTAAACACACAAAAACTTATCAATTATATCTTCAATTCAATAACAATCAATTATATATCAATTTCATATATAATATTGCTAATATTATAATATGAAAATACTTGAAAAATTCTTTTATTCCTTTGAACTCCAGATTAAATTAAGGCATCCTCTACATTTCAATTTCTTTCCTTACTAAGTGATACCACTTTGTTCTGTTTAAGTGGGTGGATCTAGAGCTGAAACCCTTTCCCTGTTGCAACAGAGGAGCTTTAGGGTATGATAAGTCATTTGCAGATTAAATGTTTACATCACCTGACAAAAAATCTGGCACTGACAAACAGCAGATGTGGAAGTGCAAAATGAATACTGCATTTGCAGAAAGCAGCAACATTTTCAAAAAATACGGTTTGAGTGAAACGACTGACCTCTCGTGAATCTACTGCTGCATACATGATGTCCATCCAACCCTTAAATGTTGCCTGGAATGAGAGATTATGGAAAATGTGTTGAACTTTGACCTTGAAACTCTTCACATAATTTGCAGTATCAGAATGACACTGACTGCAGCAAGAGCCTTTGCTATGTTCACAGGCACAAAGCACCCAGCTCTGGCTGCTGTGAGTGTCATTGGGGAGACAGAACACTATCCTAGGATTCTGGCAGAGCAAACCTTCATCAGCACGGCACTAAAGGCCATGCAACCCTCATGGCTGAATAAACCCACATTTTGACAGAAAAGGTCACTATTTGCTCCAGAATTCCTTCTGAGATGGACTCCAGGATCATGAAACTGCTGGAGGCTGCAAGAGGACTTGCCCACCAGATGTTCCTTTATCACCTGGAAAGTCAGGGCAGGGTCTTATCTGTTCCCCTTTTCCCATTTGTGTGCATGAACTGCCAGCTACAAGGGGGAGCAAGCTGCAGGACATCCCACTCCCTGCATCACCCTCAGAGATGAATTAGGAATTAACAAAAGGTCAAGCCCATCTGACAAGGGCTGGCTACTGAGGACAAGCAGCACTTACCACCTGAAGAAGAGCCAGGTAGCCAGAGCCAACATTATCAAAATTGACTTTAACATTGACCCAGAATATTTCCCCAGTGCCGTTATACATCAAACAGTCTGTTTTGTTTGTGATGTTGACCACAAATTTCAAATTTTCATCTGTCATATTGATACATTTCCCAAACTTCCCAGCAAAGAGGTTCACTCCCATGATGCTGAAGATGAGCCAGAAGATGAGGCAGACAAGCAGAACATTCATGATGGAAGGGATGGCTCCCAGGAGGGCATTGACCACAACCTTGGATGAAAAGGGAGAGGAAAAATATGCTTCAAAAAAATAGATAAGCCCAGGTATCTTTAAGTAGTCACTTAGTCATCTTTGCAAACAGAAACCTGATGTTTCCTATGTAAATAGTCACAATCACACTGGTCAGGGGGACCCTGAACAATATCTTTAGTATCTATTAGGCTTTCAAAGCAATAGTTGATGTTTCTTGGTCTGCTGTGAAGTCTTACCACTACTGAAATGTAAGTCCACCCTTTATTTTTTTCCCCTTGTTTTTGGAATAGGACATGGTCCATTTGACTCTTTGTTTTAGACTTTATTGACATAAAACTTCTGAAGTATTTATCCATGAGCACTTGTGCAGAGGACCATATTCAAGACTGTCAAAAGTAGTTCCTAAAAGGATCAGTAATAATTCTCCACTAGTAATTTGCTTCATTTATTTTTAGTGGATTATGGTTGTGTTTGGGGTTTATAAGCATAAGCCAGGTACATTTCCTGTGCTAGGTGCTGTACAGCCACAGAAAAGTGTCCATGCAGATTTTAAATGTATGCTAAGACATAACAGATGGCTTAGAAAAAATTGGGAAAGGAAATGGTGGGAATATTTCTTTGAGTTTCACAGTGAAGGCAGTGAACTCATCTGTGAGGTAGCAAAGAAAGCTTGATGGACCAGCAGAAAAATTCAAAAGCTTTGTGAAGGGTTTTTGGAGACTGTGCCACGCACATTCTTCATAGCAAACATAAAGTATGACATTATCTGTTTCAATATCAAAATTTACTCCATACATGGAAATTTGGATACATTTTGCCAATTAATTTAATGACATTTCTCTCTGTCTTCACAATGTCAAGACTGCAACCACAGAGTTTTCAGTTTTATTCTTCCCGAATAAAAAATAATAAATAAATGCGCTCTTGTGATGGGAAAAGAAAATCTAATGTTCTACAGGAAAACACTTTTGTTTTCTGAAAGAACTCTATTTGAAACAATAATTTGAGCAAAGTACTTTTTAATAGGCTACAGTTTTTGTAAATCAATCCAGTAAAATCTTTCTTTAAAAAGAAAAATCTTTAAAATTGAAGCGACTCTTTCCTCTGCGTTAGCTTGCTATCAGATTTCAAAAATTATAATTGTGCTCACAGTTCTTATTCTCTATTTTATTTTTGCCTATCTCAGTAAGACAGGAACACAAGAATGTCTGGGCAGCAATGGAACAAAGTTCCACCTAGGCCGGTTTTAATTTAAACAGCACTTGGATCAATCACTCCAGGAAAGTCTATAAGGAATGCCCAAGTACAGAAGAGCACAACCAAGGGTCTCTTAAAAAATGTAGTTTATAGTTCCTAAGCTGAGCTCAGGGTGAGCATGTGAACTTGAGAAAGACACAGTGATGAGTCACAATTCCGTTATGTGCAGAACCTTTGGTTTGCAATCAGTCTTACCCTCATTCCCTCAAACCGAGACAGTGCTCTCAGGGGTCTCAGAGCTCGCAGAGTCCGGAGAGATTTCATGGGCCCAAAGTTACCGGCAAAGAGGTTTATCAAAGAGATCTGAGTGGGAAGAAAAAGGAAATGCATTAACAACATCCTGTCATCTGTTTCCTTTATTTCCATTAAAAAAAAAAACCCAACCAACAAACAAAACCATGTTTTCGGTGCCTGGACTACAATATCCTGACACCATTGCTACAGGGGTGAAGGTCTGAAATTTACATCAAGAAAATATTGAGGGATTCTGCTGCTAAAGCTGTGTAGAAACAGCAAGGGCAGAACTCACATCTACAATAAGGAAATCCAGCCAGCACCAGGCATTGGTGAAATATTTCTTGAAGCCATAAGCCACCCACTTCAGGAGCATCTCCAGAATGAAGATGAAAGTGAACAGTTTGTCAAGAAATTCCAGTATATCTTTAATTCTTTTTCTCTTATTTATATGGATGTCTTCAAATGCCTGAAATCATAATATATATAGGTAAGTTACAAAAATCAGAAATTAACATTTAAAGTCAAGCAACAGTGAGACCCTTTCATCATTCAGTTTGTTTTAATACACATCTGAACACCATTTGTTACTCAAATCTATGCCATCTGATAAAAGCGTAATTCTCTCTGTGCCTTCTCTTCCTTTTTCTCTATATAAAACAGCCCTGTGGATGCATCCCTCCTGCACAATGAAATCCTGGGAGGACAGGATAAAAATATATACATATTTTTAGAAATTTATATAATAAAATTTATATATTGAAGAGAACTAAGCTTTTTTCCCCCAAGTATTAAGAGTCACTTGTTTGTTTTAATGGTATAAAATCTCCTTAATATTTCACAATTGTGACATAACTTCCTTAGAAAAATCCAGCATACAGCCAGAAGAGAAATAGCTTTTGAGATTCATGTATTCTTAACTTAGCTCATGCTCTCTTATAATTTTTAATAACATCAATAATAGATTTGCAATAGTTAAAATTATCAATGAATGCTATTTGAAGACTCTTCCCTCTTTATGAGTTCAAAAAAATTCCAAATTGTTTGTTGGTAGAAACAACTTCTCTGGGTGCAAATTAAAGCAAAAACCCCTTCATGAATACATGAAACTGCGCTACACCAACCAGGGCTCCACTGCTCAGAAGAATCATGAACACGATAAAGGACTCAAACCAAGAATGTTCCACAATCTGGTAGCAGGTTTTTCTCAGATTCAACCAGGTTTCTCCTCCAAACTTTGCAGCCCTATCCAGGCAACAACGGAAGTACCGAGCACAACCTGAAAGTGAGAGACAGCAATGAGTGCATGGAAGGAAAGCGGGTGAATGTCAAGGCATGGCCAGGAAACTTCTGGGGATAGGACAAAGGCAATGGTCACAGTTACTGTGTCCTTGTTGTTGGTTTTCCCTCTTTTACCAAGAGAAAGAAAATTGGGATACATGTAGTTTAATTTGCCTTGTAGCTCCTATACAGTAGGTAGAGCCCCATTGGACGACTTTTCATTATTTCAATATTGTATTTGCAGGGAGCACCCCAACAAAGACAGGAATGATGCATCTGACTCCATGTCCTCAGAAGGCAAATTTATTACTTTTTGACACTATATTATATTAAAGAATGCTATACTAAACTATACTAAAGAATACAGAAAAAATACTTACAGAAGGCTAAAAAGATAATGATGAAAACTCCTGACTCCTTCCAGAGTCCCGACACAGCTTGGCCCCAATTGGCCAGAGAGTCAAAACAAGTCACACTAGAATCCAATCAGACAATCACCTTTGGATAAACAATCTCTAAGCACATTCCACATAAGCACAACACGGGAGAAGCAAATGAGATAAGAATTGTTTTCCTTTTCTCTGAGGCTTCTCAGCTTCCCAGGAGAAAAATCCTGGGTGAAGGAATTTTTTCAGAGAATGTGAATGCCACATTTCAAGACATTTCTGAGACACTGGACAGGCTCTCACTGACCTGCTGTTGGGGCACACAAAACTTCAAGGCCATGGGAAAAGTCTTGATGTTACAAAAGTCCTTCTCGGTTTCTGCACACTCTTTGAAAAGCAGAGATGAGATGCTGCAACCCCAGCATAGAAAGCCACCAAATTTGTCAGGATTGTTGTGAAAGCCAGCGTTGTTACATATTAGAGTAGGAAGAAATCATAAAAGCACTGAACACATCCTAGAATGACTTGCAAAGCTAGGTGTTGTCTGATGATTCGAAAAGAGTCCTCAGATTATTGGATGATATTTAAGGTCCTTTCCAACCCAAGTCATTCTGTGATTCTCTAATCATCACCCTATAGAAATTCAATTCGTCTTAGCAGCTTCTTTTGCTTATTTCACTCCTTTGTTTGAGATTGCTCATGAAATATTATTTGAGGAATACTTTTACTGCTGCAATGTATTATAAACCTGATGTGCCAGGTGACCATTGCCCCCTGAGACCTGATCCCACACACTTCTCTTATGCCAAACCCCCAGAGTGACTTGGTTGTGTCGAGCTGAGCGAAATGCATTTCACTTCACAATCCTATTTTTCAAAATGGGGTCTATGCCATTGCCCATGTCCCACTCGGAAGAAATTGGTTTTTAGAGGAAAGGGTTTTATTTTTCTGTGTTGACTAGACAGGGACAACTATTTAGCTTTTTTACAGATAACTAAAATTAACTGAAAATAATCTGATCCTATTGGCTCAGCATCACTAGGGAAACAAGTCGAGTTTTCACTCAACTCTAGTGAAACTATGAGAGTCTTACCTTCTGGAAAACATTGTTCTGGAGTCTTGAAGTCTTCATAAAATTCTGGAATCTGTTTTAAAAGATCTTCAGGATTTGTCAGATCCACTGTGCTGACTTCAGAAGAGCTGACACCGTCCAACTACCAAGCACAGTAATATCAGTTATTGATTCTTTCTAATTTGGGTCCAAATTAATAAATTAATCCATGTACAAATAAAACTCAAAATTAAAGTTTTGGTGTGTACTAATATTACAAATATTGTTGGTAATGGAATAAACTTTTTGATTTTAAAATATATAAGCTTAGAAGTGCCAACAGGTGCACTCAAATAGAGGCCTAAGCTCTATCATTACAATATCTATCTACATGAACCAGATGTAATTGCCTAAAATCAGCTGGGACACTGAAGAGCTTTTAAATTGCATATTAGTGAATGTAGTTCTCAAAAGAGGAGAAATTACCTGGGTTAAAACCATGAAATCATGGAAAGATGCCTTCACACAGGAGACCCAGATAAATAAATCAGTTACCATGCCAGGAACTGAGCACCCATGATAATATTTAGGAAGCAGAAATTGGAATCACACCCTGTATTCTTCAGTAGGCTTTTTGCCATCCCATTAAACCAAAAACAATATTATGAGTCAGCAGTTTGCTAGCAATTGCTTACTTTATGCTTTTATTCTTTCACGTTTCCATAATGATGGTTTTTACTTCTTTGAATGCATTCTACATTCAAAAGTATTTTAAATCACTGTACACTGGTAACAATGATCTTTAATGACACAGAGCAAAACTCATTTCTAGCATTGTGTTTCTTGAATCCAAGATACTTAGGACATAGGCAGACTTGATGGAATTTCCCACATGAAAATTTATCTCTCTTGAATTATTCCTTTTTTTTTAATACTCCTTTTTTGTGGAGTCAAAATTTAATGAATGGAAGGTATCAGAGAGTATTTTATAAATTATTCATAATTACTACCAAAGTTACATCATAGTTTTCCCATTTCTACATGCTCTCTTTCCTATACTATATATGTTTGTTTTTTTTCTTTAAAATAAATACCTAGAAAACCTTTGATTTTGCTCACAGAATTCCAGCTCCTGTAATGCCTCTTGTCCTGCCAGACCAGGTACTGCAAGATTAGAGCTGCTTCTGGCACTAAACGTCTCTCTGGTAAATCCCTGAACTGAAATATGCCTGTGTTTGATCAGTATTGGAAAATTAACATCACTGAAAAAAAAAATTGTTACCTCTTTATCTTCTGGTGATGAAAGTTCACTCTTCCTGTCCTTTCCTAGATAAAGCACACTGAAATCTTCAGAGGAAAATCCTGATCCTTTGCTGGAGCTGCCTGAATTTTTTGCTCTGTCTCCCCTTTGCCTCAGGTGATTTTCATCCTGAAATTAAACTGTGGATTAGAGGGGCTTTCTTTTGCCTTTTTAGGGAGCGCAAAAATCAGAGGGGAAAAAACAATAAGCTATAAATTTCATTTAAAGTGGAAATTTCCGAGAAGAGTTATAAGAAAGGATCATTTTGAGTCTCTGATTTTACCTAAGGATAGAACTTTTCCCCAACAGAACAAATGAAGGCATTTTAGTGACCTATTCAAAGCTTAAATGAGAATTCTTACATAGGAATTAAGAGGGAAATTTAATATGGGAAATTGTGATACCAGAATGACAACTGTGATTGAAACAGGTCTGAAAAATTCATGGAGCACAAAGAAATAGAGTAAATGTATGATGTAGTATCAAAAATTTGTCCTTAGTAGAGCCACTCCATACTTAGTCCCATCCACTTCTAATAATTACTAGATGTTACACACAGCAAGGAAAAATACAAAGTAAGGATCAGAGCTATCAATTCATATTCTGAATCCATGATAATATTCTGTATGCAGAAGATGTATTTTGGCTCTTTCATGGAAATAATACCAAAACAGTTGACATTATGCATAAATATTTACATTAAAAAATACAAGTTCACCAAGGACTGCCATAATTACCTGTGTGCACCACAGCACGTCAGCTAGAATTCCTGAAAAAATTTTCTTTTAAAACCATGAAAGAATCTTGATTTTAAAAGGCTCCAAGTGATGATTTACCCTTGCTGTAAATATTTTTATTTTTGATTCTAGTTCAGAACTTTATAGTTTTCTGGAAATGGATCAACATCTCCCACCCTGTTCTGCTAGAGACTCTTCTCCTGCCCATCCCTCCCTTCATCTCTCTCCACATTTCTGCTGTTCCAACACAAATGAAGACACCCATTACCTGCTTGCTGCATTCTGTGTCAGTAAATGTGCTCAGTTTATCATCATCTTCAAAACCCTCACTTGTATTCTCTGCCTCAGCAATAGGGACACAAACAAATACGTTGGGGTTCCTAACAAAATCTTCAAGACCTGGGCATTTGTCCCTGTTTTTCTCAATCCATTCATTATTGTAATTCTCCTTACAACTCTTTGGCTCTTCCCTCTTGAACCCCAGTGAGTTCTGTGCAGTCAATTTGATTTTCTTCTTGTGCACTTTCTTTATGTGCCTGAGCTTCCTGCAGCAGGCATCCCACGTCGCGCTCTTGACAAGGTGGAATGCCTTGCGGATGCGAGCGAAGGCGATCCGAAGATTGTTCATCTCTCCATCATCCTCTGTTGTCTGGAGACTGTCAGCACTGAAAGAACTCAGCAGCAGTGCAATGAAAAGGTTGAGAACCTGAAAGCAATTGAAATAATAATTAAAAAAAAAAAAGTCTGGAGATTAGCATTGGAAAATCTGAATTTTAACTTTGAAGAACACATACGCTACCAAAGTTCTGTCTCTCCTGAGCAAACCAAGACAAGGTGATAAGGAACTGGCAGCAACTGATCACATTGTGATTGATTAAATCAATATATCTATCTGAAATTTCAATGTTCTCATTCCTCTCTTCTCAAAAAAATGTAATTTAAACTACAGGAGTAAACAGATCTGTGTACCAAATGCATTATTTGGTGAAAGCAGCTTTTCAAAGGTTAAAGCAGTAACATTGACTCATGTCCTGTCAGTTTAGTAATTGCCTCTTGATTCTTCAAATTAGAATTAAATAAGGCCCTTGTGGAGTTGCTTCCAAAATTCTGTAAGATCAGATTCAGGCCCAGAAATTTCCTCAAATCTGCCACATTATCACAAAAATCAAAATCAAGAGAAGCTCAAATTTTTCATTTTTAAGGACCTTCATATAAAGGAATTTTTAAACCTCCATTTGTTTTGGGGTTTTTTTTCCTTTGGTTGTTTGCTTTTAAGGGAATGTGAGAATTTAATTTTTTCACTAATATTTTGGTTCCTAATGGGATTTGTGTATCTTAATTTTTGTCAAGGCAGAACTGGGCAGATGACACCCCTGAGCCATCCAAGGACCACAGGCAGTGGAGAATACCAGCTCTCCAGAGATCAATTCATCTCATCTGTCTTACTTATTGACTTTAGGCTGGAATAAATCTCAGTCCCATATATCTCTCTCTGCTTCCTTGGACCATAAGAAAGCCTGGACAAAAAGTGGGGGCTAAACGCTTCATTGCTTGACAGTTAACATTAAATTGTGATATAAATCTCACTCACAGCATTCCATCACTGACATCAATCCTTGCACTGTGAAACAGACAGGACATTAAATACATATTTAGGATTCAGCCACAGAGCAAAGATTTCCCACAAAGGTCTGCCTGGAGTTAAATATGTTCAGAATTCTTTTTACAATTAAAAGCTCGGCATATGGATAAAGGACATGAGGAACAAAATTACCAAAAGAAGATATCTACAATTTGGGCATCAAGAAAGGACAGCTTAGGACCAAGGAAGGCAGGCTGTCCCTTGTGTCCCAGCATAGTGGGTTGAGGCTGTGTAGGTTATGCCATTGCAAGATCTAGCTCTTGGATACAAACGTATCTGGCAATGCCTAAAAATAATCCTGATTTCTGTGGTAGCACTGTAGATTCTGCCATTTGCTGATAAAGCATTCAGTACTTGCATGAGGTCTTAATAAAATAAATAAAATTGATTTAGAGAGGGACTTAAGCACTTGGCCTAATTAATTCAAGCAGGTGAGCCATAAGCCTCACTGATTATTTACATCCAAATCCCAAGACAGGGAGGAACTTAGCTGTCTGTGGTGTATTTACTGCAAAGGTGTTTCTTGTCAATTGCCACGTGGAAAGGTCAAGTGGTGCTGTGAGCAAAGCTCACAAAATGGGAAAATACAGACAGCGGCCCAAAGGTGAAAGGAAAAAGAGGATTTCACAGACTATAACATACATAAGTAACTTTTCCACCAGTTTTTAGGGAAGCTACTTTTTTTTTTAGAACAACCATTAACTGCAGTCCACCACAGACAGGATGAAGAGAAGAATACATTGCAAAACTTACCACTAAATTTCCTATCACCATGACCAGCAGAAAGAGAACAAGACATACTGATGGTTCAGCAACCACCATGCAGTCCCACATGGTCTCAATCCATTCTCCACACAGAATTCGGAAAACGACGAGGAATGAATGGAAAAAGTCCATCATGTGCCAGCGTGGCCTGCCGTCTTTGCTTATTTTATTGCAGTTTTTCGCATAACTTTTCCCAAAAAGTTGCACCCCTACTACAGCAAAAATGAAAATGATGATTCCCAGGACGAGGGTCAGATTACTCAGTGCTCCCAGGGAGTTACAAATTATTTTAATTAGAGTGTTTAAAGTTGGCCAGGACTTTGCCAGTTTGAAGACCCTCAGCTGCGTAGCAACATAAAACATAGAATTAGACATCGGTAGAGATAACTTATCTTTGCACCATGCAAATCCTACAACGACCAACTTACTGATATTCTGAACTATTCCAGCAATGCAACATTTGTGGTACATTAATACTTATAAAAAGTATTTATAGATATTTTTTTCTCTTGGCTGGGCAACACTGCAAACATAAACTAATCATCTCGTAAAAGACCAAACTAACCTGAGACCCTGATAAATGCAGGCAGGTGTCCATGCAATTCTCTTGATGTAGATTATGGTGCTTAATTTACATGTAAAACAAAGGACCAAAAGCTCAGGGACTGCTGCTGTAGCACTTTGAAAAGAGTCTATATTTTGATCAAGGAATTTAAATCAGTCCCTGGTATATGAAGTGGATACCTTAACATAATTTCACATCTCACTTTAAACATTGTTTATTTCTGTTTGTACTCTGACACTTTTCTCCTAATTTCCTGTGCTAGTATTTAATTAGTTGTGTCAGTGTTATAACACATCCATTCTGGAATATTTTTTCCTTTGAATATTTCTCAGTGAATTCAAAAGAAATATACTTTTTAAACTCCGACTCTAACGTCACAAGGAGTTTGAGTGTGTTTCCTAAAGCCAAGTCGAGGAAGTAAAAATAATGAGGATTAAAAAAATTAATAATTTTTTGCCTCCTAACTGCAGAAGTATTCTGTATTAAATTCACAAGATAAAGTTTTATACAACTGAGCATGCGTGAAGCATTACCAGTCTGAAGGATCGTAAAACTGACAGGGTTCCTCCTTTTCTCCTTTCTTTCTTGCTTTTGTGTTTGGGGAAACTCAATTCAATTAAACTCAGTGTGACAATGACACTGTCAAAAATATTCCAGGGCTGCTGAAAATAGTAATAGGGATCTAGAGCGATGATTTTTAAGATCATTTCTGCAGTGAAGATTCCTGTAAAAACCTGTGACAAGGAAACAGTAGCATCAGCCTGAAAGTAGCCATGAATTTATCTTATCTCTAGGTCACCTTCCCTCAAATAATATTCATGGACAGGTTAATAAAACCCATGTTTATGAAGTTCTAATGCACTTTTAATTAAAATGGGAGGATTTTTTTTCTGCCTTCTCAGGGGCACGACAAACTGCATAAAAAATCTGTGAATTGTCTGTATTAGAAACAAAGTTTATTAATGCTGGGTTTGCTAATTTTCAATTTTTACTTTCACTTTTTATGTTTCAAGTGAAAACACATATCATTCAATTAATTAATTCTATAAAAAGCCACATAGCTGAGAATTTGCTTACCAAGTTTCCTATTTTAAGCATGTATTTAAAAGTAAGTGACATATTATTGTGCTCCAGTGCCATGAACAAAGTGTTCATCACAATGCAAACCGTGATGGTGAGATCAAAGAAAGGATCCTTTATGAAAGCAGCCACTTTTTCCTTGATTCTCAACCAAAATGGGCAACAATCCCAAATTAGATACTTTAAAGCAAAGTTCTTCAGGCGTGGTGGGCATTTCTGCTGAGCTTCTTCACGTTCTAAACGAAAAAGAAAATCCTTCTATCATTATTTATCACTGAGCAAGATGGTGATATAACAACTTCAAGCATTCAAAAGAACAGAGAAGGAAAAGGAAATCTCTCATCTCTCACAGAGCCTCCCTGAATTTTTTACCATTTATGTGATTCTTACATCAGCTGATAAACATGAAAATAAAAATTCAGAGAAAATGCCAATTTCTTTTGTGAGCACTTCCTTCCAAAGCCTTTGGAAAGGGTTTTCTTTGTTTCATATGGTACTACAACCATCTGGCAATGCAGATATTTGTGATGCAGGGCCCTCACCACAGCTTCTCATGCTCCTGCAGGACAACAGAGCAGCTTCAGCTCTTCCCACCTTGTCCTTACAGGGTGTCTGGGACAACAACTGTGTCACACCCAACAGCTTTTTGTCTCCCTTGACCCTCGAGGCAGCTTAAAGAATCAGTGGTAGACATAGGAATTCTGACTCTGCAAATCCACATTGCCTGAAATTTGGTCTTTGGCCTTTTCTATGGGAAAGGTCACACCCACAATTTCCAGCTGATGCAAGCCGAACAGATCTCCATTTTCCTCAAGCAGAACTTGGGACAGAAGCTGTTTCAATTTTGTCATTTTCATCTTTTTAATCAAATCTAAATCTCATAGCTTTTCTTTCTTCTCCATTAATATTAATTAGCCCTTCAAAATACTTTTGACCCAGCTTAAGCCCTGTGCAAATTCATTGACTGACTGGAACTAGCTTTAAGTACAAGCACAGTAGGAATTACTCAGCTGGTTTTTTCAGAGACCTGGAAGCTTTTCAGAAATAGATGAGCTGGGTCTGACTCATATCCTTTTCTTAATTGGCCCTGTCCTTATTTCTTCTTTCTGTTTCATTTTCATTTCTTCTCCCCCAGGCTCAATACCTACATCTGCACCCTACACCACTTATTGCAGAGTGATCACTTTGACTCAATCCTCACTCCAGGTCTAGCTCTTGTCTTCCTCTAGAGCTACAAGTCCTGTTTCACTCCAGCTCACAGCTAAAACTGTGCAACTAAACCCAGATCTTTGATGAATTACACTGCAAGGCAAAGCTTGACAGATGTGTTGCAACCATAGTTCTCCCACGAAAAAAAAAATCTTTTAAAACTTTAGAAAAGGGACCTTCCTACCACAGGTACCTCCCCATTCAATCCCATATTTGTGGTCCAAGAATTGGTGGTAGAGTTCCTCAAATAGGCCAAAAGAAAACAAAAGTTCCCCATCCTGAATAACCTGGACAGAAATTTTTTAGCAAGATCTGCAACAAAACTATCAGTCATCAAAATGACTGTCACTGATTAACTCCCACCAAAAATTCACTTGGGAAGGTAAATTAAAGGAATAAAATTGTGACGCTAAATATTCAATATGCAAGAATTGTCACAACTAATTTTACTTGCATAATCTTGTTAATTGTTGAATTCTGTGTGCCTGTGAATCCTCTGAATTCTGCCACTGACACAATAGAAATCAGAGGATCAGGAGAAGAAAAGTGTCCCAGTCCTGCAGGTCAGATGATTGCCCATTCTCACTCCAATCCCCTTCACTCTCTGCCCTACAAAAGGAGCTTTTACAATAGGCAAAGAATGTGTTCCAGTACACAGAGACTGTTTGACACCATTTTTTTTCTAAAAGAAATCCAAATGAACAAGGAAATTCCTAATTACACACCTACAAATCTCTGCTAACCTTTAAGAACTATGTTTTGTTCTTTCACGGCAGCATTACTTTAGGGTTGAAATAAACTTAATGAGGAACCACTTACCCTCCAAGACACTGGTAATTATGCTGACTACACTTGCTGCCCTTTGTCTCTGAAGAGCCTCATTAAAGTACTCCACTGACAGATGAGGAGGTAAATGCATCATGCTGCTCTCATCACGCACAGCTGGCTGCTCAGAGAAGTAAACAAGATTAGGGAGATACCATGGGAGTGAAATGAGCCAGGATGTGATGATGGGTAACTGTGAGAGTTAATAGGAACAATGACAGGCAGCCAAATAAATGTACTTTTCTACAAGATGTAATAGATGGTGAGATTGAAGGTCCTACTCTCTTGTGGGGCTGCAGTGAATGGATCCTGCAAGCACGTAACACGGGGCAAGCACAGCCTTGGAAATCAGTGTATGAGGGGAAATGGGCCTAGGAATTAATCAAGAAACTAATGGAATAGGAGAGAGGTGAAGGACAAATAGGGGAAATTTGGGAACTTACAGGCAAAGCTGCTGCATGATGCTAAAGGGGCTATGAACAAAAAAAATTAAAAATTCACAGGTATTATTCAAAATCATACCCCTGAGCAGCATTTGGGATGAAAAGGGTGACTTGTAATTTCAGCACTAGGAAACTTTCAAACTACGTTAGTGCAATTAATGAGCAGCGGAAACATAAGGTTTACAAGAAGGCGGCCAAAATCTAATTTTCAGGAAGCATCAGACTTATTAAAAACCAGTTTCTACAGACAACTGAAAAATTCCCACATCAGCATGCTTGAGTTCACATCGCTGTTTGCCATTAAGGTGAAACTCTTAAAACAACAACAAAACAAACAAACAAACAAAAAACCAACAACCCAACCCTGCCACTGACCGATAAACCACAATATAAAGCATATAAATAAAATATTTTATTTTTCCTCACCAGATCCCCCTTTCCTGCGTCTTCCATGACCGGTGGGAGCATGGCTCCTTCAGAGGACACAGGATCTTGGCTGTGCACCCCGCTGCTCCCCAAACCCAGCCCGGGGTGCGC